GTGATGACGTCAGGTACGCGGTTTCGTTGAGCACGCTTTAGTCGACCGTGGTTTTGTGGTGGAACCATTTTAACCTACTTCCCTTATATCATTGATATGAGCCGAGGTGGCGCAGTGGTTAAATGCAGCACTGCAGGCTACTTCAGCTGACTGCAGTTCTGCAGTTCGGCTGTTCAAATCTCACCCACTCAGGGTTGACTCAGCCTTCCATCCTTCCGAGGTGGGTAAAATGAGGACCCGGATTGTTGATGGGGCCAATATGCTGACTCTGTAAACCGCTTGGAGAGGGCTGAAAGCCCTATGAAGCGGTGTATGTCTAACTGCTATTACTATTACTATTGCTTTTGCTATCATTGATCCTTTCCTTGTATTTCCCTGTTTCTGATGCCTGTTTTTATCAGCTAACCATAGATTACATAAATCCCAGGTCAAAAAGAGACTGTAGAATACAGGTTGACATGACCACAATGGAGAGCCCAACATTTTAAAAGTGAATTTTGCGACCTTTCTCGCCCCTGTGGTTAAGGTAAACACTGCAGTTGTTCAATTAGTAACGAGGTTGCTAAGTGAATCGGGCTTCCCCATTGAATTTGCTTGTCAGAAGGTCGCAAGAAGGGATCCCATTATCCTGGGACACTGTCATAAATATGGAACTTGTTGCCAATCATCTAAGTTTTGATCCGGTGGTGGATGCTGTAACGGTCGTCAGTGTGAAAAACGGCCAAAAGTTAACTTTCTTCAGTGCCGTCGCAACTTCGAACAGTCCTTAAACGAATTGTAAGACGAGACTTCCTGTATTTTTAAGCCGAAAGTTGGACGAATCGTTTTGAGGATTACTTTGAGTTGGGTTCCTGCCTAGACTAAGAGGTGAGAATTCCAGTTCTGTGTTTCTTTGAATTTTAAAAATAACAGTGCCGGCCATCCCTTCGCAGTATTCATGAAAGGATTAAAGCAGTCAAAACAAACCGCCTTTTTCCCAGGAACTGGGTGTTGAGTAAAAATTTTCAGAGTGGTGAAGCCAGGAAAAATGTCTGGGAGCGACAGCGAAAGGTAAGGAAAGGGGGCAAGTGAGCAATCCATCCCTGATTTGAAATGTTATTTCCCATAGTGACTCAGGAGCGGGTTTTTCATTTTTTTTAAGAGGCACCGCTGTCTAACATTTCCTCTTAATTCAGTGTTTTCCAATCTTAGCAAGTTTAAGACTTCAACTCCCAGAATTCCTTAGCCGGCATGCTTTAAGATGCATGGTCTTTAACTCCCAGAATCCCCCAGCAAGCTTGTTTTAAGATATGTGGACTTCAACACCCAGAATTCCTTAGCCGGCATGCTTTAAGATTGGTGACTTCAATTCCCAGAATTCCTTGGTCAGCATGCTTTAAGATATATGGAGTTTGACTCCCAGAATTCCCTAGCCTAGCCAGCATGCTTTAAAATTAGTGGACAAACTCCCAGAATTCCTTAGCCAGCATGTTTTAAGATGGGTGGACTTCAACTCCCAGAATTCCTTAGCCAGCATGCTTTAAAATTAGTGGACAAATTCCCAGAATCCCCCAGATGACATGCTTTAAGAGGGGTGATTTCAATTCCCAGAATTCCTTGGTCAACATGCTTTAAAATTGGTGGACAAACTCCCAGAATTCCTTGGTCAGCATGCTTTAAGATATATGGAGTTTGACTCCCAGAATTCCCTAGCCTAGCCAGCATGCTTTAAAATTAGTGGACAAACTCCCAGAATTCCTTAGCCAGCATGTTTTAAGATGGGTGGACTTCAACTCGCAGAATTCCTTAGCCAGCATGTTTTAAGATGGGTGG